GGTAATGGGGGCGGTGAAGCCTGACCCTGGCTTGGAAGATGGGTGGTCTGAAATGGGCAAGTTTGATCCTTCTCTGTTGCTGAATGCCACTGCTTATGAACTCAATTCTTCTCTCTCTAGAACGTCCAGCTGCCCGCCGGCGGTGCCGGAGAAGGTGGGGTCGGCGGCCGGAAGGGAGAGCTTCAAGAAAAGGAAAGCTGAGAAAGTTCAGAACAACAACAGCAGCAGCAACAACAACAAGGCAAGTTTCTATAATATGATCTCTCTGTTTGTTTCTTTTTCAAGACCCAAAAGAGGATTCTAATTCTTTAGACCCAGATGGGAAAAGAATGGCCAAAAGTTTTCAAGGAGTTGTAACAGATTAATGGTGGATTTTGCAGGTGACTGTGGAGGAAGATAACAACAACAACAGCAACAAAGAGATCAAGAGGATCAAAGCAAGTGCAGAAGAAGGAGAATCCAAAGCCACAGATCAAAACAGCACCAAAAACAACAACTCAACCACCACCACGACAACAAACAACAACAGAGAAACTTCAGCTGATACCTCAAAAGAAAACTCCAAAGCTTCAGAGGTTCAAAAGCCTGATTACATTCATGTCAGAGCTCGCCGTGGCCAAGCCACTGATAGCCATAGCTTAGCAGAAAGAGTAAGCCAAAAAAAACATCCAATTTCTTCTTCTGGGTTGCTTTCTTTTTCTTTGATTTGTTTGTTTGTTATGAACTTGGGCATTTTCTCTTTTGATAATCAAGTTAATTTTTGGTTTCATGTAGGCTAGAAGGGAAAAAATCAGTGAGAGAATGAAGTATCTGCAAGATTTAGTACCAGGGTGTAACAAAATCACTGGAAAAGCTGGAATGCTGGACGAGATCATCAATTATGTTCAATCTCTTCAAAGACAAGTGGAGGTGAAAACTCAAATTTTCTCAATCACCTTAAAAATGGTGCTCAACTTGCTCTGAAATCTAAACTTCTCTCTGTGGCATTTTATCAAACAGTTCTTGTCCATGAAGTTAGCCGCCGTTAATCCAAGGTTCGACTTCAATGTCGATGATCTCTTCGGCAAAGAGGTAACAAAACTAAACGATTTCAAAAGTTCAAACTCATTTAATCAGAAAAATCAACAACCAGAAGCTAAAATTTTCCCGGGAAACAAACAGGTTTTCCCCCCTCCTTGCACCACCGCCAACTTCCCGGCGATCGGCGGTATCTCCTCGGAGATGACAGATCATTCTTCCTACTTACAATTTAATCCAAACAATCAACAAATCGTCCCGGGTTGTGGATTAGAAATGGGAATGAATACCTCCGACGTCGGTCTCCGAAGATCCATTAGCGCCCCTGTTTCTTTCCCGGAAAATTTCCTCGATTCCTCCTGCCTCACCGTAAGTTCTCTTCAAACTCCGCCGAATTCGATTCCGTTTCGCTCATTTTCTGTTCCTAATTACATCAAATCAATCAATCGCTGCAGCAATTCCAACCCTCCTCAGCGTGGGACGTCGATTTGCAGAATCTGTACAATGTGGGTTTCGATCAAGCAAGATCATCAAACGCCTTTTCTTCTCAACCATATACAGGTAAAGATAGGATCGAACTGTGTAGTCAATTTTCCTTCCTCTTCTTCTTCAACCGTCATTATTATGATTTGAGAAAGAATTCAGAGTAAGGAAAAAAAAAAGTGGATATTTAAAATTGATGATTGAGACATTCTCATGGTCCCCTCCATCAAATTTCTTAATGCTTTTTTCGCTAAGGAAAATGACTACAAATTTTCTGAGCCAATTGGCTTCTTGGGATATTCCTATTGCTTTGAAAGAAAAGGAAAAAAAATATTATAGAGATCCCTTTGTCAATCTCCATCAACAATCTTCCCACCAATTTTGCACTATTTTTTTTTCCAATAACTGTCCTCCACTTTCAACAGTGCATAAACTAAAATGTTTAGCTTGAATTAATTTAGGTGCGTCGAGGAATCATGATAGAAATAGTGATTTCATTTTGTATCTGATTGTAATTGATGATCTAAGAGTTGAATGTTTCTTCATTTTCTTTTGGTAGGTTCTGTTGAAGGAAGCAATATAAAGATGGAAATGTGAGAGTAGTTAGAGTCTCATCTATTAATCACACTCTTCATGAGATTCAATCAAATATTAGTCTCTATTTGTCTTCTCTTCCGTATCTATATATTCTTTTCCTCTTTTTCCAAAGTACATAACTAGCATATATATATATATGTGTGTGTAATTTGTATGTATACATCCGGCTCAATATGAATAAGAGTAGCGCCAATTAGCGATCATGTTTATCATTATACTAAATTCGACTTAGTTACAATCCATCGATCGACAAAAATTAATTGATTTGAAATACCTATTTTGGATTTGAATCGCTTCCGTTATAATTGTCTTTTGCTAAAAGAAAATAACATAAGATGTCATCTTCTCTTATCTATAATGTTAATTTGTATGCCGATACACAAAATACTTTCTAGGGACTAAGTATAAAGTTTGAAGAAATAAATAAATTTTGAATCAAATTTATCATAACCTAACAATTTTTTTAACACTCCGTACATGTCTCTTCACCTTTTATTTTAGTATCGTTAAAACAATCACCACCAAGTTGATATTATTAAGAAAAAACATGATATTAATTGGTTTATAAATTAAGGATTTAAAGTAAGATTAACATAATTCAAAAAATTGTTTCGATTTTGTGCATCCAATCAAATATCACCCCTTTATAAAGATGAGAAAAAGTTGCAATTGAAAGTGCAATAATTTCCACTGAATATTTATGGTTAAAATAATATTATCCAAACATTAGATTAATGTAATAAATACTTTTGAGATGTCCCATGAAAGACATGGGACAATATAATAGGCCTTTTATTTGAAGATGTTAACATTTGACAATGATGTGGACATAAAATTGATTGAGAGATGCTAAAATTGCTAGATTATGATTATGATGTTAACAATAACATCCATATGTTAAGATATTATTTAGTTAATTAAGTTTGAGAACCAACAAATAAACTTTTTTCATTCGTGATGTTTTTTTCCGTATAAAATATCTTTCATTACGTCAGACAACCATATACGGATCTTTTTTTACGTAGTCTATTTCCAAATTTAATTATAAATAAAAAAATTTCTGAATTTTTTCTCTTTAAAATGAGAAATAATTTTTTTCATTGTCTTAGACTATATTTTCAAGATTAATGTGATCTTGCTCATTTGCTTGTTTTTTTTTATTTCTCCAAAATATATATATATATATATATCTCGAAATCTTCCTTGAATTCGACAAGAAATCATCACAGATAAAGAAAGATCACAATTTTTTATTTTATAATGATTTAGAATGGTTTCGAGCATGAACATAGATGGACAACAAATTGACTGGTAACAAAAACGAAAGAGAACATAATCGCATATTTCATTAACAGACAATCTTATTCATTGATTAGGCGTGACAGATAAAGACATACGAGAGACATCGGTTTGCCACAAAAGTGATGGAAGAGGTTGTGATTAAAAAAAATTATATATATATGTTGCTCTTTATTGCTCCCATCAACAACTCCGTGCAAGTTCTTCAATTATTTAGCAAAGTTCCTACAACTTGAACTCAACTTTGTTAAAAAGAGGTGTTGTTTTCTCACTCGAAAAACTTTTTAACCTAATAAAATAATATATATATACACACAAGTGTAAAAACACTTATTTAATTAAAAAAACAAATACAATTCTAAAAATGAAATTTTCTTAAAATTATTTTATTTAAATAACTATAAAGGAAAAAATAAATAAAAAAGTTCACTTGAGAAAAGAAACCCAATGGGACCATTGAGCTTCATTGTAGCCACTTGCATCAAGTTGCCATTTGAGCCTCAACTTTGGGTTCACTTTCACACCGCCAACAATAGCGACTAGACCGGGACCAGCCCGGCCCGACTTTATTGATCCACAAGATCTCTTTGATTGGATTTTAGAAATACCATTCTGGCCTTTCACTATCTTTAGGGCCCATTACTATTTTATTGATTGCTCATAAGTTATTATAATGTTATAATCACATGAATAGCTATGGACCTTTTTTTATATATTTTGAAGTATAGAATCATTTAACAAATAATATTGAATTAAAAATAGGTATTGTAAATTGAAGTTGAGAAAAGAATCACACTAAAAGTTATATGACCATTTGAGCAAAGTTGAAACGGATTGGATACCTTTCCCATAAGTTCAAGTTTTAAAAATTCAGACAAAATTAAAATGTTAAAATCCTATTTTTGTCTTTATAGTTTATTTTATTTTAGTTTGAAAATGTTTATTTTATTCTATATACTTTTAACTTTGGTTCATTTTAGTCCATATACTTTAAAAAATACTCATTTTGATTCCCGTACTTTTAAAAAGATCATTTTAGTCCATCTTTACAAAATTTGAACATAAAATTTTGCATGAAACTTTTTAGTGTAAARTAATGTTTACATTTTAAAAAATATATTGATTGTAGCGTCATGTTGAAATTGTGATAGATAAAATGAGTTTAAAAATAAAATTAAAGGACCAAATCGTCACTTTTTAAAAATACATAGATCAAAATGAATGTTTTGAAAGTATAGGGACTAAAATAAACCAATGGACACATGAAAATGTTGATGTCGAACCCATGGACACACGAAAGTATTTATGAAAATATTGACACGTCGACCATATCGGATTATTTTGGGACACTTTTCAATTCTAAGCGGGCTTTTGCATTTTGAAGTACAAAGCCCAATTTTATATGTTTTTGGATATTTGAGGCCATTCGTGTACCCAAAATGATATTAAAAGTGAAACAATTACATAAAATAAAGTGAGAGTTTAAAACAATATATGATATAATATATGTTGCTGTTATCACTAATTTTGCCATCTATCTGACAAATCAGTCCATGGTTCTCTACAGTAATATCATAACATTACTTGAATTTTTAACTTAGAGAAAGAAGTTATTAATATATTTTAAGCAAGATAACAAACTAGTCAAAGTATAACATTACTTCAAAAAAAAATTTTTTTGGATAAAACATTATTTGAATTTTTAACTTAGAGAAAGAAGTTTTTAATATATTTTAAGTGAAGATAACTAACTAATTAAAGTATAAAATAATCTTATATTGAAAGATTTGAATCTTCATTCATCTATTATTTATTGATGTATTAAAAAGAAAGTTTAGTCAAGTTCAGGTGGATACGATAACAATATCATAGTGTACGTTATATAATCATTTAGGCTCCAATTTTTGTTTTTAATTTTTGATTTTTTAATTTTCTATTTTCTAGTTTCAGTTTTTTTATTTTAAAATACTAATATAATTTTGGGTTTATGTGACGTTGATAAATAGTAAAAAAAACAAAAAAAAATTCATTAAATGTAAAAGACACGTTTTTTTTAAGAAATGAAGTTTTTTCAGATTTTTGACTTCTCGTGAAGTTTTTTCAATGATGTCACGAAAAGTAGAAAAAAACTCAACATTAAATGATGTTTAAAAGCCGTCACAAAAGGGTTGAGGTGCTTTTTTTTTTCGAGGAGATTGAGGATTTACGATGTTTTTGTTATTTATGACGTTTTTAAATGTCACAGAAAGAAAAATAAGTTGTGATTCCATGACATTAAAATTTCACGAAAAACTGTAGCGCACTTTTTAACGTGAAAAGATGTAGATTTACGAATTTTTCGTCAAAATTGACGGAAAAAAGCATAATCTTAGTTCATATATGTATAT